GCAAAATTAGCTATATAGACCAAAATCATTTTTTGAACCAGGCTGTAAACGTTTTTTTCTGCTGTAAAGTTAGGTATTTTAACATGGGGGGTCTATGGGATTTGACTCCCTTTTGCAGCCAGCGGCCTCTAGCGGCCAGTTGACGAATTACAGTTTAAGTCACTTCCTTGTTGGCTTCAGGAGAGAGAGCGGGAGGTTGCCGCTTGGTTTATACATTTAAGTACGGAGTAATATTAATTAACTACATCATGCAATTACTACATGGTTAGGATTAGGATTTGGTTTAGTGTTATTTGCATGTAATTATGCATAATTTATTGTTATTATAATGGTAAGTACATGTAACGTGTAACAAGGACACCTTAAAATAAAGTGCTACCTATGCTTTTTTTAAATACAGCTACAAATTACAGATATTTGCTATGACTTTATCTTACATGCATACCCAAAATAGTACATGAAAGATGGATGAATATATACAAAATTAATATAGATGAATAAATGAACAAAGATTTAAGCAAATGTAAATATAAAACATAAGGCATGAATGGTGTGCGACATTTATTCCATCTACAGGCTGGCTCACAGGATTTGTCCTCACAACCTGTTTAATAAATTATGCTTTGTAATTGTAATAATATTATTACGTGTTAAAATATTAATAATGAATATTTTATTAGTTATGTTAATAATTATTATGAAGGTTGTTGTTTTTATCATATCACGTTTTGCAAACCAAATTATTTGTTACAAATATTACGTAATACATATACTATTTAATGTTGAGTTATGTAATATTGAATATATACATTTACAGAATTACAGGCATTAATAGTAATTTCTACACATATTTGGAAAGTCATGTTTCCTGACATGTTAAATTGACATACAGATAAAGGACCTCTTTATTAATGACCTTCTGTTTAATTGTGTATTACAGCAATATTTACAGCAATAACTATCACTTTTATGTCCTTAAATCATTTCTTTCATAGTGAGGTCACAGAGTACTCCTTACCAAAGCTATTGGAAGCTCTACAGCTGACATATAAAGAGGTATTTTCAATGTCTTGCTTTCTTTTTACTTGATTGCTGACACTTGTTCTGTATTTTTGAAACAAATCCCAGTGCCTGAATGTCAATAGCTGCTAATATGCATATCTAAAATGTCTTGATGAAATTGGAATAAATTCTGTAAATTAATTTTGAATTTGAGTACCATTAGAATTAGATGGTTATTGTTAAAATAGCCCAAAAATCAAAAGAACGGGAGTTTTAATAATGTCTTGATTTGCTTAATTTTCTTCCTGTGTCTCTTTCATAGTTTGTTGACCTGTGTATCTTGCTGGGCTGTGACTACTGCGATAAAATTGGGGGTCTTGGACCGAGTCGAGCACTGAAGCTTATTAAACAACATCATACAATAGAGGGTGTGATGGAACATGTCAACAGAAAGGTGCTTTTTCAGAAAAAGCCAAAGAAATCAAGCACAGCTGAAGTTGGCAGGAATTGTGTTCGTCTTTTGTATTCTATCGTGATGTATATCAATCTATCTGAACTATCCTTTTTGATTTCATCGTGACTTTAGAAGGCTGTAGAAGGCGACATTCTGATAGATTTGACATCATTTGTTCACCCTCAACTGCTTTTAAAACCATATTTTCTGTCTTCTGTGGAACACAAAAATAGGTGTTCAGAAGAATGTTCAGGTTGTACATACATCAAAATAAAAGGCAACTTTGGCTGTCATTTCTTCCAGACACACCCCATCCCTCCAAACTGGCAATACAAGGATGCCCGTAAGCTGTTTTTTGAAACCCCAAAAGTCGACGACCCTGTCCTGGTCTGGAGTGAGCCTGATGAAGAGGGTCTGGTGCAGTTCCTGTGCAAAGAGAGGCCTTTGAAGTACATATCTGTGTTCTAGTATTTACTAGTATCTGACATTATTTGATCAAGAGTGAGATATTAACTGACGTTATTTAATATTATTAGTTTTTTTGTTGTGCATTTAACCTTTCTTTGGGTATGTGACCATATTCGCTGTTTTAAGGGAAGAAAGGGTGCGGGGACGCATGAAGAAGTTTCGTGAGTCTCTCTTAAACAGAAGAAAACAGAGGGAGGTGGATGAGAAAATGGGCCAAACTAGACAGTCACGTCTTGAAGAATTTTTCCCTGCGACACGGAGGAGAAAGGTCAGATATCAATTAAGAAGTTTTGTAAATTGATTGCTTGCTTGAACATTGTAACAAACAATCGTATCTTCCTTATCTAGGCTGTGTCTGCAGCTGTGGAAGCATCCAGTGGGAGAAAGCGATCAAAAATTAAATAAGAAGGACCCTTTTGAATCATGAATCTAAAAGTATTGATCAAACCATCATGTGGACCGAAGAGTCAAACGTATAATGGCATGGATCTGTTTTAGATGCTTTAGATGCAAAAAAAGTTTTTATTTTGTTCAAAGGCAACATAATGTAAAACCAGTGCCAAGAAAATATATATTTTTAATGTTTTTTGTATCATGTAGCCTACAAAAAATGTTCGGGAGCCTGTATTAAATTACAGTAAACCTCTTTTTAATTCTAAAAGTATACTGTGTTTCATTGTTGCAGTAGTAGTGTGGTTTGTGTTGTAACTAATAGTTCAGCCAAACATGAAAATTAGCTGAAAATTTCCTCACCCACAGGCTATGATGTAGATCAGTTTGTTTCCTTGTCGGAACAGAAATTTACAGTAGCATTACATAAGCTGCTCACCATTGGATCCTCTGCAGTTCAAAATAAAAGGCAACTTTGGCTGTCATTTCTTCCAGACACACCCCATCCCTCCAAACTGGCAATACAAGGATGCCCGTAAGCTGTTTTTTGAAACCCCAAAAGTCGACGACCCTGTCCTGGTCTGGAGTGAGCCTGATGAAGAGGGTCTGGTGCAGTTCCTGTGCAAAGAGAGGCCTTTGAAGTACATATCTGTGTTCTAGTATTTACTAGTATCTGACATTATTTGATCAAGAGTGAGATATTAACTGACGTTATTTAATATTATTAGTTTTTTTGTTGTGCATTTAACCTTTCTTTGGGTATGTGACCATATTCGCTGTTTTAAGGGAAGAAAGGGTGCGGGGACGCATGAAGAAGTTTCGTGAGTCTCTCTTAAACAGAAGAAAACAGAGGGAGGTGGATGAGAAAATGGGCCAAACTAGACAGTCACGTCTTGAAGAATTTTTCCCTGCGACACGGAGGAGAAAGGTCAGATATCAATTAAGAAGTTTTGTAAATTGATTGCTTGCTTGAACATTGTAACAAACAATCGTATCTTCCTTATCTAGGCTGTGTCTGCAGCTGTGGAAGCATCCAGTGGGAGAAAGCGATCAAAAATTAAATAAGAAGGACCCTTTTGAATCATGAATCTAAAAGTATTGATCAAACCATCATGTGGACCGAAGAGTCAAACGTATAATGGCATGGATCTGTTTTAGATGCTTTAGATGCAAAAAAAGTTTTTATTTTGTTCAAAGGCAACATAATGTAAAACCAGTGCCAAGAAAATATATATTTTTAATGTTTTTTGTATCATGTAGCCTACAAAAAATGTTCGGGAGCCTGTATTAAATTACAGTAAACCTCTTTTTAATTCTAAAAGTATACTGTGTTTCATTGTTGCAGTAGTAGTGTGGTTTGTGTTGTAACTAATAGTTCAGCCAAACATGAAAATTAGCTGAAAATTTCCTCACCCACAGGCTATGATGTAGATCAGTTTGTTTCCTTGTCGGAACAGAAATTTACAGTAGCATTACATAAGCTGCTCACCATTGGATCCTCTGCAGTGAATGGGTGCCATCAGAATGAGAGTCCAAACAGCTGATAAAAAAACATCACAATGTTCTACAAGTAATCAACACCAGTCAATCAGTCTTTTGAAGTACAAGTAACTAATCCATCACTAAAGCATTTTAACTTTAAACCGTTGCTTCTGGCCAAAATATAAGTCCATAACCCATAAACAGTAACACTTATTAGGCAGTAGTAACACTTGTAGACAGAGTACAGTTGGAACAATTCTTCACAAAAGCTATTACAAACACACAATTTTCATGTGATATTCCTTTTATTTGTCAAATTAAGAAATTATGATCAATAACATATAAATAGTTCATATTTTTTTAGTTCATAAAGACTTTGTTCCAATTGTACCATCAGTTGAAACATCTTTAATGCTGTAACGTTGCCAAAATAGTTCAAACTCATTTCACGTGTTAATTTGATACTATACAAAATATTTCAGTTCTGCATTTTACTTCTGTTCTTCATAATATACAACCTATAATTTGCCATTTACTAGCAGAACATTAAATCACTGAACAATTAGGATTTCAAGTGTTCAAATTAGAATTTTTAAAATGCTGAACAACTTTAAATTTGCAAAAATATAAAAAAAACTAAAAACCAGCTCATTGTACAACTGTAAAAACAAACAACATTCACTTTGTCACAAAGTGAGTAACTCACTCACTCATTCACATAGGCCTACTTATTAATCAACTTACTCTTAACTCTGGTGTCAGATGCAGTTTGTGCTTTATGTTTGTATTTGTATTTGATACATCCACAAACTACAACGTACCAACTAAGGAACTGTCTTGTTTTTTAGACATGATACCATGGCTTTTCAGCTCTCTTATAATTTAATTGTGTTCAAAGTACATTTGAGTACCATGTAAATAACATGGCAATCATTTAATACCAAACTATTACCACCAGGCACTCTACCATCGCTGTAACAGTTTCCTAAGAGTCTGAAGTTTCTGAAAGAGCTTTCGGGAACATGTGCCAGCAGAGGCGTTTCTCTCCGGTGCAGTAGGTGGCAGTATTGACATGTACAGCCTCTATAGCGCTCCGCATCAGTCCAGTGAAGAACCAGACGTTTATGGTTATTCCTGGCTGTCCTATGTGGAACGATTTTCCAGCGCTGCCGGGCGTGTTTATGCACTAGATTTACCAATAACTCACAGCTCCACCTGCCCTAGACTCGACAGCTTTATTATTTCGTGATGGCGGCGAGTGCCAAACGAAAACAGGAGGAGAAACACTTGAAGATGCTTCGGGAGATGACCAGCCTGCCTCCCAATAGGAAATGCTTTGATTGCGATCAGCGCGGCCCGACCTACGCCAACATGACAGTGGGCTCGTTTGTGTGCACCACCTGTTCCGGAATACTGTAAGTTTTTAACGAGGCCCTTCATATTCACACAGATGGTGTATTAACTTGTTTTCCCCCAAGAGTCTGTACGGGCAGGCGCCTAACAACCCCTCCCATCTGAGAGATCATCTGCAGAAAGTGTCCCAGCTGCCTTTCTAACATCATCATAACATCAGCTTTCACAAAAATAGCACGAGATTCAGGGCCAGAGCAGCCGAACTTTTCAAATAGGACAGGCTCCTATTCAAATAAGACAGTGTGACGTTGGTGCTGGTTGTGAGTGTGTGTTCAGAAAGTATTGTATCAACGTGTGACACACCCATGTTTAAACACTACATGCATAGATTATGTTGATAACTGGATGCACTGAAGAAAATGTGAGTGGTTTTGAACTTACAGACAGTGCCACATGTGAAAATGTCTGTATGATATTGTGGTACTGAGTTTGGGGCCCCTGTCAGTGCACATGGGCTCTTAGTTCACTTGCCAGTCAGAAGAGCCATTTTGGTACTGAGATACAACAGGGGACAACTATTATTTTCTTGGGGGCCCCAGAGGGCTTTGGGGCTCCACGCAGAGCCCCATTCTAGGGTCCTAAGACAAAAAAGCCACCCTTAATGTCAGTGTCTTCATGAAATTCTGGTGCAGTGATGTGACTAAATTAGACAGAGGCCCCCAGAGGGCTTTGGGGCTCCACGCAGGGCCTCAGTTTAGGGTCCTAAGTTAAAAGAGGCCAACCCTTGATGTCAGTGTCTTTATGACATTCTGGTGCCGAGATCTCCATGGGCCCCCCAGAGGGTATTGGGGCTCCACACAGGGCCTCAATTTAGGGTCCTAAGCAGGGTTTAAATTGGGCCGGGGCCATCCGGGGCTGAGCCCCGGCACCTAAGTTAGACTCCAGGGCTCGACATTAACGCCAGACAAGTAACATGAGTAAAACATCAGTAACCAAAAATAGCTATGTAAACACCAAAACGCAAGTATTATTCTGATTTTATTACATTTAGAGTAAGTGGCGAATAGTGGATATAGCTACTGTATATAATGCATCTATTGACAGTATAAGGTTGCGCTGCTGATGCGAAGCTCACGCAGCCTCTCCAGGGGAAATCAAAACGCGCACCACAAAAACTCAGCATGCTGAGGTAAAAATTCATAATGGAAAGTTTTTATATTTAAAATATAGTTAGTTAGGCAACATCACACAACGTTTTCATCATTACGTCTGTTTAAACAGTTCAATAAGCAAATACAATAATATTAGGTCACGTACATTTTAGGCAGAAACACAGCGCATCTCACAGCAACCAGCCGATTCATTACTGATTGATTCCGTGTTTTGAACGAATCGGTTGAGTGAAAGTTTCATTAGCCCTTGTATAAACATCTGACGAATCTGCCGTTTGAACGAATGGTTTGAATGAACAACTCAATGATTCACTCATTAAACGCTCACTACTGGCACCTACTGGCTAAAAATTCAAAATGGAAAGTTTTTATATTTAAAATACAGTTAGTTAGGCAACATCACACAACGTTTTCACCATTACGACTGTTTAATAGTTCTATAAACAGTTCAATAAGCAAATACAATAATATTAGGTCACTTACATTGTAGGCGCAAACAGCGCATCTCACAGCAACAAGCCGATTCCGTGTTTTGAACGAATCGGTTGAGTCAAAGTTTCATTAGCCCATGCATAAACATCTGATGAATCTGCCGTTTGAACGAATCGTTTGAATGAATGACTCAATGATTCACTCATTAAACGCTCACTACTGGCACCTACTGGCGTTTTAATTTCGTTGAAAACCACCATTATTTCTAGCTTTTATATTAAAAAATATTTAAAATAATCTCATATTATTATTTAATACAGTTGTATTTTTCAGTGTAAATGATTTAATTTGATAACGTATAGATAATCACATTATTATAATTGAATTTATGATAAAAATTTAAGAATTTGAAATGAAAGTATTAATGAGATTAGTAGGAAAATGCCCTCTATAAAGGTAAAAAAAAATGCCCTTGGATAAAATATTTTTTAAAAAACCCAGCAGATTTATGTCACAGCTGATAGAAAACTGATGAGAATATTGCTTCAGAATAAATCATATTTGCAAAAAAACAAAACACACACACACACACTTACATACATATATATATATATATATATATATACTGCCCACACTGTCAAAAGCACCAAAAGTTGGTTAAATTACCATGGTGTTGGTGTGCTTGACTGGCCAGCAAACTCACCAGACCTGAACCCCATAGAGAATCTATGGGGTATTGTCAAGAGGAAAATGAGGAACAAGAGACCAAAAAATGCAGATGAGCTGAAGGCCACTGTCAAAGAAACCTGGGCTTCCATACCACCTCAGCAGTGCCACAAACTGATCCCCTCCATGCCACGCCGAATTGAGGCGGTAATTAAAGCAAAAGGAGCTCCTACCAAGTATTGAGTACATGTACAGTAAATTAACATACTTTCCAGAAGGCCAACAATTCATTAAAAATGTTTTTTTTTATTGGTCTTATGGAGTATTCTAATTTGTTGAGATAGTGAGTTGGTGGGTTTTTGTTAAATGTGAGCCAAAATCATCACAATTAAAAGAACCAAAGACTTAAACTACTTCAGTCAGTGTGCATTGAATTTATTTAATACACGAGTTTCACAATTTGAGTTGAATTACTGAAATAAATGAACTTTTCCACGACATTCTAATTTATTGAGATGCACCTGTATATGCTCAATACCATAGAGCCACCCCCCCCCCACATAACAAATCCCAATTTAACCCCTGGTCCTAAGGCAAAAAAGTCACCCTCAATGTCAGTGTCTTCATGAAATTCTTGTGCAGTGATGTGATTAAATAAGACAGGGGCCCCCAGAGGGCTTTGGGGCTCCACGCAGAGCGTCAGTTTAGGGTCCTCACCCCCCGATGTCAGTGTCTTTATGACATTCTGGTGCCGAGATATGACTAAATATGAAAGGGGCCCACAAGGGTCTGCATGGGCCCACGGAGGGCCCCAATCTGGGGTCCTAAGACAAAAAAGCCAGCCTCAGTGTTAGTGTCTTCATGAAATTCTGGTTCAGTGATGTGACTAAATAAGACAGGGGCCCCCAGAGGGCTTTGGGACTCCACGCAGAGCGTCAGTTTTGGGTCCTAAGTTAAAAGATCCTCAATGAGCCTCAATTTACAATTCTAAGACAATTCAAAGTCACCCCTTATTTAAGTGTCTTTATGATATTCTGGTGCTGAGATACAACTAAATAGGACAGGGGCCCCCAGAGACCCCAAACAAAGCCTTAGGGGTCTTAACGGTGCTTCAGTACACAACTTGTGTCAAAAGAGCCCACCCTCATGGTTCATTTATACAGCCTTGGCAT